ACGACAATATCGATCAGGCGCAGCAGAGGAGCAGTAGCCTCGCGACCAGCCCGAATATACTCAGGTGGGTCGTCGATGAAGAGAGAGAAGAGCAGAGGCCCCAGTACGTCCCCTTGCTTAACCCCAAACACCTCATTGAAGGCAGCTGACAAGCCCTCAAACCCACCATCAACACATGCCTCGACATTAGCATAGAGTGCCTCAAGCGCACGCACGAGCTGCTCTGAGATGCCCTTCCGGCGAAGCGCATCCCATAGGAGCTCACGATGTATCGTGTCAAAGGCCTTGCGAAAATCAACAAAACAGACATACAGGGGCTGTCTCGCGCGCCGAGCCTTCTCTATCAGAGTACCCAAGACAAAGCATTGACCCACCGTACAATGATTACGACGAAACCCTGCCTGCTCTGGGCATATGGAACTGCGAGCTAACGAAGAAGGAACGGATGTTGGTGGTCCCTGTGCCCCTCCCCCTCTGACGCGTTGCAAGTCGCTGTGTGACGCTGGCGTTTCTGTGATGGCTGATCAGGTATGTGGCGAGATGGAGGTGTGCGCATCGTTCCCCATCACATCCGACGCGTGTGCTTGCATCTGTGTGTCTGCTCAGAAGGAGGACCTGCCGGATGGCCTCTCTGATCAGACAGGCACGCATCTACGCAACCGACCGAAAGCATGAAAGGCCACTCGGTGGTGTTGCCTCTGTGCGTAGTATCGTCGCCACCCGCCGCTCCCGAGATGACCTCCCCCTCCGCAGCAGCAGAGGGTGACATGCGGATCCACGAGCAGCTGACACGAGACGATGCCGCGGAGATCACCGGCAAAGCCAACAGCAGCAGCAACAGGAAGAGGGGCAAGCGACGGCCTGTCGAGAGGCCGGCATTGTTTGAGGCGCCCGTGGCGGGTCAGTCGTCTTCACTGATGCAGAGTGCTCTACAGAGGTGGGGCGACACACACACACACACACACGCACACAGGCGCAGTGAGAGCAGCATGGCCACAGGTTGCTGTGTGTGCTCGTCTGGTGATCAGTGCGCGAGCCGGCGGGTGCCAAGTGGAGGGGGGGAGCAGTGTCTCATTGGGTGGCCCGACGGTCGTGGACACTTCGGCACTTGACGTTGCTGCTGATACACCGCCACTCGAGGAGGTGAGCACTCTGCTGTAGACGACTGTTGTCCGACGGTGTGCACCTCGAACGTCGTCGCATGTGTGTCGTCAGACCGCTGGTGTCCGCGAAGAACACATCTTCTTCGATGAGGTTGACGAAGACGGGTTTTCGGACGAAGTGTCAGCGCTGTTCGTGCCTCAAGGGTTCAGAAGGTTGTCCATTGGTGTCATGCCACCGACAAGCATCACAAGCATCAGGGTGTCCCGAGAGCTACTGAGCGGCGTTGTCCGTCGCACCATCACATCGGCTGACGACGTCACTCGTCTGTGTGGAGAGGGGGCCGATGCCACAATGGAGACGAAGCTGATGGCCAGTTATCGGTCGACCCAGCCTATCAGTCTCCTCTCACTGGCCATTGACGATGCTACCGGCAGCTCAATCGGCGTGTATAGGAGTGAAGGCATGCAGCTAAACCTCCCAAGATGGCCCTCTCGCGAGCTCCAACAGGCGGTGCTCGAGGCCCTCATCGCCAATGGGGCAGATGTGAATGGTGTCCCCGTTGATAGGACGCGTGGAAGCAAGGGCGCATCGTGGAAGCCCCTTCGAGTGGCCGTTGTGTACGGCAACGTGACGGCGGTCGATGTGCTGTTGAGGCATGGCGCGAGGACAAGAGGGCTGGAGGCTGCCTACCTCCCCTTGGCTGAGGCATTGCCACCAGAAGAAAGCCCCGAATACGAAGCGGCCCTTCTCAAGACATACCGGCGTGTCCTCGATGAGGATCCATCCCTCGCCAGCGAGACCATCAATTTCGGCTGCCCCACCTGCATTCATGTGGCAGCTATGGTTTCGCCCGCCTTCTCACCCAGCTTCCTCCTGGCCTACCTCGACCTGATGAGAGCGCACGGAGCGCAGATCGACGTCTTGGACGCACTGGGCATGACACCCCTTGCCATCACGATGGGCCAGGGCGCTCCTGAGATGGTCGATTGGCTGTGCGGGCAGCTCGGGGTAGAGGGGATTAACAAGACTATTCCGGGGCTAGATTCGACGACACTCAACGGAGCTGGGGTGGCGCTATCTCAGGCGGAGAGGAGCAAGGCCCCGCAGGCTGAGGTCGACAGACTGAAGCGAGGCATCCGTGTGCTACTGAAGCACGGAGCATCACTCAATGGAGCCGAGGACCGCATTGCTCGGAGCCAGGTCCTGAGGATAAAGCAAGAGATGCAGCGAGAGGTGGAGCAGGAGGCGAAGCAGAGGACACCAGCTCCAGAAGAGGAGGTGTCCAAAGCGGCAAAGATGGCCGCTGAGCTCATCAGGGAGGAGGCGAGGGAGAAGGCCAAGAAAGCCAAGAAAGGCGGCAAGAAGGGCGCCAAGGGCGGAGCACGGCAGCACGAGCAGCAACAGCACGAGCAGCAGCAGCAGTCAGTGTCAATCGAGCGTGAGGCGATTGACAAGGACGAGGAGCCGTCGATGCCATCGACACCAGCTGACAGCAGGTGGGGATGAGGGAAGTGAGCAGACACTCCATGCATGTATGCGTGTGTGTGTGTGTGTGTATGCGTGTGACGACAGGGAACTGGACGATCAGCGGCCCTCGTCATCGTCTGCCGACCCGCCCCCGACGTAAGGATCACGGAAGAAAGTGTGCTCTTCCTTACAAATGTACATGACCAGCGCGTCGTTGTGCAGGTCATCGTCATCGATCGCAGACGTCTCTCGTCCCTGCCCTGCGGATGCTGTCACCGACAGCGAGAGTGGTGACTTCGTGCCCGTCGTCACACGCAGCCAAAAAAGGAAAGACAAAACACACAAACAGCAGCACGATCAGCCTCCCTTCCCGCCCCCAACGCCGCCTGCTCGGCCACTCAGGTGCGCATCGATACATGCATCGATGTCGTTTTCGCTCCATTTGTTGCATGTGCGCCTTTGTTCAGTGTGAGCCGTTCGGTGTCAGGGCAGCTACGTGCCGGCAGGCCCCCTGCTGGCCGTGGGCCGGGCCCAAACTTCATGCCGGCCGACCCGCGCACACACCGGTGGGTACAGTGCGCACTTGATGGGCTGGCCATGTCATTCCAGTCGGCTGTGTATGTGTCTCGTTCATCAGTGGGCCCCCTCCACTGGTCCCCACTGCTGCCGTGCGGCCACCAGCGTCGGCAAACGAACAGTAAGGAGAGATATAGATGCAAGGCATCTCCTCCTCATTCTGCAGCCAACTTCATCGTATGTCTTCTATCATTCTCAGCCCGTTTGCTATGGCGTCACAGCCGCATTATCCCCCGGTCCCTCCCCCTGTCCCCCCTGTTCCCCCCGTGCTGCCTCCCCGTCCGCCCAGACCCGCGGACAATCACAATCGACCGGCCCCATCGCACGACCGCACTGGCAGGTACACTTGACGTGACACCTCTCTCACTCAGACACACCTCGCCCATGGGTTCCTGTTTGTGGCTGCAGTGGCGTTGGTGGCCAATTGCCAGTGTCTGTGCCAGTGCCAGTGCCACCGCCTCCGCCTCCCCCTCCCCCTCCCCCTCC